TCTAATGCTGGGTACGTAAATAATAACCAAAGGTAATGTGAAAGGATGACAAGGGATTCTCTGTGGTCATCCGTGTGGAGAGAAAAACTGAGTCTCCTGGATGGACACCACCCAGGACCGCTTTGACAAGCAAACAGCTTCAGCCAATATTTGCTACCATCTTCTCTTACACGATGTTGAGCCTTAGGCTTGGAATTCAGGTACAAGTAATAACACAGGCAGGTTGCAGCTTCTCTTTTAGCATCAGAGAAAGAAAGATTAGTAAAAACTTCCTGGACAATGAGAGCTTCTCTGTGACTCTTTTGAATGTTTGGGTGGAATTGCTGATCATACATTTACAGCTATGACAGTGGAAATACATAACCCCTGGGATGGTGTTCATAAGCATGTTTAACCCAGTCTGCTTCGACAGCCTCAGCTCTCTGTTTTCCAAAGAACATCCCACTTCATTATACCTTTCAGTATTAAATAACTAGTGTTTGCCTGTGCCTGGCACTTGTAAAGGTCTCAGAACCAACAAATCCTGTGCTTTAATATTGGTGTGTGGCTTTGGCTTCCTCTTATGACCTCAGTCTAACCATTCTTTGCATCCAAACCATGGCCTAAGAGGTGCAGAGGGGCAGAATGACATATAACCCAGGGATGCTCTTCATGCTTGGAAAATGATGTGGCATTCTGCACCCTATAACCCACATAGGGCTGTAGTCTTTTACCACATGCAGATCATCATCCGCTGAAGGGCAAAAATGCTTGATCAAGCTGAGATGTCCCATGTACATGGAGTCTTGTTTCCTGGTAACATGTTGCAGCCCATATAATAGAAAAACAGCATCCTGAACTGTAGGCAGTGTCCCCCGGAGAGGGAAAAATTGCAGCTAGAGAAAAGGCTGTTATTTGGTACAATATCCTGGCACTACTTAGCATTTTGATCTAGTTCTGTTTGGGAAGACATCTCGTGATGGAGAATGTCTCACCTTATCAGCGATGGACGGCAGCTGCTGCAGAGGGACGGGAGGTCTTTAGGTGATCAGCTGCACTGGGAATAATTTGAAGAGATGAGAGTTAATTAGTTCAGGGTAAACCAAGAAGGTATCTGATTAGTGAGAGTACTAAAAGCCAATTATTTCCAGAACACAGTTAAATGGCTTTACAAAGCTAGGAAAAGGCGGCTTCTGATAGCTTTTCCAACACATGAGGTCTGATCACTAAAAAAATGACCTCTTCTTGACTCCCCCAGAAAATATAGTTCTGAATGAGGGCAGATTTGAGAGGGGTTTTGCATATTTTTTTAAATAAATAATTTCTGCAAGGGCTTGTAAGATACCCGGCTACTCATGAGCAGTCTAATGTGGAGAAAAACTCATCACCATGAAGCAGAATTTTTTGGACAACCACAGTTAGAAGCAAATGGACCTTTCTTGCAAAGTCAAGTTGTCCCTTCTTCAAGCGGAGTTTGCTCCCAGGCAGTCTGGCCACCCTGGGAACAGCATCAGGCCAGCCTCCCACCAGCTGGTCCCCTCTTCTCTGAAAAGAAGAAACTATCCTGTATATAACTAAGAACCCAATGATTTCCTTCCCATGGGTTACACGTCAAAATATCTAAGAGCTCTGCTTGTGGTCTTAGCTACAGTAAGGAGTGCATTTCTGGACATTCAAACACATTCAATAGCTTGCATAATATTTATATAGAAACAAAAGGATGCTCAAGGCAGGCAAAGCTAAGAATGAAAGCAAGAAGTGGACCATCTGTGGGCTGGTATGTGGCTGCCTCTGCGGCTGCTAACACTCAATTCCAGCTGGACCTGTATGCTCCTTTCTTGTAGGCATGCTGTCAATGCAAATTGACAGGAATCCCCGGGATTCAAGCCTCAGAACGCATTCCCTTATGCAATGCTAATTGTTCACAACAGGACAGATATCGCAGGAGAGGATGTTTGACTAATTGCATATCAAATTGCACCCACGCCAAAAACCAGTCGCACAAGAGGCAGTGTGTGATTTCAGACAGGGTGAAATGGGATCATGTGAATGCATGAACTCAGCCACTTAGGTTCTGCTTAAACTCTCACTGTAAATATTCAGCAAGGCCATAAGCCGATGCTCTGCGTGAATGTGAATTGCATTCGTAGCATGTATGGAACTGTGTCTTGTATAATTCATGAGAATAGCCACACGGGGTCATACCAAAGGTTCGTTTAGCTCAGCATCCTGTCTCTGAGCCTGAACAGTGAAAAATGCGTAGGAAAAAAAGCGTAAGAAATGGTACAAGCTTTTTCCCTTGCTTTACCCTCTATCTATTAAGAGCCACTAGTTCAGGGATTTCTGCAGGCTGTTCCCGCTTCCCAGAGCTTAATGGCCCAGGAGAGACCTTTCTTCCCCGATTCTGCCTAATTGCTTCTTCAGCCCATTCATATTTGTGATATCCAAAACATCCTGTGGCAAGGAGGTGCACAATTTAATTATGTATTGCGTACAGATGTTCTTCTTTTCATTTATTGTGATTAATAATTTCATGTGTTGCCCACTAATTCCTGTGTTATAAGAAAGAGCAAACAATCTTTCCTTACTCATTTTTGCAATATTCACTTCCTCACGTAGATTGCTGTATATTATTTGGAGAAAATTAAACCTTGAACTGACTCACCTCAAATATTAAGGTGATAAGAGATCATATCTATTTGTTAACTTCCAGCCATGTCTTTATAGTGGGCCTGTTCTGAATTCCAGGTACAAGAAATGGTCTCTCTGTAGTGTTCAGGCTTTGAATACAAATTACAGCATGAACATGCCTCCAGCGCTATTATCCATCAGGATACTGGGATTTAGAAACTCTTTGTATCTTGTCTGGTTACTATGGCCATTCTCAAAGTCTGTTATTTCTGTGTTTTGTACCAGATCTGTAAGTATAAGGCTATGCTTTGGGTTGCCTTCGAATGTATCAGCATTTAAACGAAAATCTCTCCATGTTCAGACACAGAAGTTTCAGCAGACCCCCAGATGTGAAGACAAAAAGAACCCCAGAACCTTGGATCTAACAGAAAAACAACCCTGTCCCCCCTTTCTCCTTGTTTTCACGTGTAACATTGTGCAAAATGCTGCTATGAAGGCCTCCCTCTGCAACTGCTGCGCCCATCACTGGGTTCTCCATCTTATTCAAACTCTCACATATATCTAGTCTCATTTTATCCCATGTACCCATCTCCTAAGAACGTACCAGATACATCCTCCTGATTGCTTGCCATGGGCACCAGTCATTTCTTCTTTCTCAAGGGAAGGCCATCTTCATACATCAATTCTCCACCTTCATGCCAGAGATGCTCTCCCTTGTTTCTTATTTTTTGAAGCCCCTTGTACAAAATGCACGATGGGTATGAAATGACAGAACAATCAGAGCACCTGTACTTTGTATTCACCTGGCACTAGCTTGAGCGGCTGTGCAAAAACACAAGCCTGGTGTTTTGAGGCCAACAGCTCTCAGCACCCTCATAGCTCTGTTTCTCTTACTTGCTTTTTACTCCTTGCCATGTCTGAATTTGACTGTAAGTTCTCAAAGGCAGGAAATGAGTGATATTTAAAGTGCTTGGTTTCTTCTTGCCAGTGTCTGGGACAATTAACAAGTGCGTGCACCACGACAGTGGTTCACTACAAGGGTGGAGCATTACTGCTCTCATCAAGGGGAAGGAACCTGGTGCAGTTCCCAAAAGTTCAGGAGTTTTAAGCTCCTTTCTAAAATGACATTTCTGTAGTCAACAGAAGATTTTGTTGAGTCATTTTGTGGAAACTGAAAGAAATCTTCCCATTGCAGCTCTGTGAGATCAATAAGGGGTGCATCATTTGAGGGGAGTATTTATACAGCCCAGCATGGAAGTTTGGTTTATACCGTTGCCACAGGTAAGGGGATTCTGAAGAAACTGCTTGACAATTGTGTGCAAGGAGGATGGCTGCTGGGGAGAGCAAGCTGCAGGTGACAGTGGCTGACTAAGGACTTTCAGACATTCTTGGCCACCCTGCCCTGCCTACCTCTTGCCCCCACTCTGACCTCATGGCACTGCTCTCAGCAGACATCAGGTCTTAGCATGAGCTGCATGTTAGCCAAAATCTGAAGAGGAACTGAGGGAACAGTCACACCTCCAGAAGTCACATCCATACTCCACCGTCCTGTGTGACTGTCCTAGGTTTCACTCATGAAGCACCCCCACTCAGCCCTGATGTCCACTAGAAAGGATGCGGGGACAAGGGACCATCCCCAAGCAGCCATCACAAAACAACACCTCCCCACTCCAGCCTATCCCAAGGCAGACATGGTCAGAAGAGAGAAAAGATCCTTTTATTGTGGGCATCAAGCGTGGGGGCCCAGCAGTCACAGGGGCTCACGGAGAGTGCAGCAGCACCTGCAACGACAGAGTCAGGAAGCACTGGTAAAGCCTAGAGGTGGGAAGAGGCAGGATTTTGTTGCCCTTTCTTTGGGAACCCCAGTTTACAAGGAGTTGTTTGTGGTCCAGAACAGAGAGCTCTTGCTGGCATTGCCTACGGGCTGGCTCTGGCACCTCATCCCCTTGGAGACCTGGGCATGTGCAGAGATGCACAGGGCCCCCGTGCCACGTGGCAGGGCTCTATAGGGAGCCCCTGGGGAGCTGCCACGCAGTTCTTCCCAAACCCTGCACAGCACCATCCCTCGCCGTCCCTCACCAGCCAGCTGCACAGACTGACTTAGAGCTCCAGAGTTGGGAAAGATGGGCAGAACAGCCTGCTACACACCTGGGCTTCCTGACTCGCTGCACCTTCTTGCATCTTTTCAGCACATTTTCTCTCTTCCTCCTTTTCATTTTGGGTTGGCTTTCCTTCTCCTCTCCCCAGGCCACTTTTCTCTTTGGCCTTCCTTGCTTTTCATTGTCCTGGGGAGAGCCTGCAAACCTTTCCATCCCACAGTGGTGTTAGGCAGGGAAAGGCATGAACCACTGCAGTCCCTTCTAATTTTTACCAAAGTGAGCTCCTTTTACCTGCTGTGCTCAGAAAGCCTCACCAGTTCTTCTGGGCACCCCAGGGAGTCTGCCACGGTCTTGGGGGTGCTTGGAGGCAAAGCTAGAGGGGCCTACAAGAGAAATGTCAGAGTTAGCAGGTGGAAAGAGCTGACCTGGAGTACTAAGCGACTGTTTACCATATTGCTACCTTGGCCATCCAGAGGAAATCCCTTTGGCTGGTTTACATCAGCCACATTTCACACAGTCCCATCCAATAGACTCGATGAAGCTCTGACGTTGACAGCTACTCCCCTCTGTCTTTCTGTAGGTCTTTTGTGGGCATTTTGTTAGGTGAAGCACGTGCCCAGAGCATTTGAGAAAGAACCTTTCCTGTTTTCCTTACTACCTATCATCCCAGGGGGGTAGACACACACAACTCTACAGCCAGGAGACTTGACCTCATCTGAGACTCCCCTCCTACACCAGACACGCGCTCACAGTGTTTGGGGACCTGACGTTACCTCTCCCATTTCACCTGACGTTACCTCTCCCCTTTCAGACTCCACCTCCGTATCTCCCCCAGCTTCTTTGAGGACACCGAGCAAGGAGGGGGGTGCGTGCAGCAAGGCTGCTGCCTGACGCTCGGTGCCTGCTGTGAGGGCAGGGACACTTTGCTCTTCCAAACACAGGCCTGGAAAGAAAAAGCACGTGCAGCCAAGTGACTGCTTGGAAGCAAACAAGAGCTAAAGCAAAGCCCGTCCAAAGCCCTACACCACTTGTGTTTTCAGCCCTCCAATGCCCTGTCGGCAGGCTTCAGCTCGTCTTGCTGAGCAAAGCATTGGTGCCCTGAGAGGCAGTGGCCAAAGAGAGGCCACCAGACAAGTGGGGCTGAAAGGACAACACTTGATGCCCAGCCCCACCAGAAACGACACAGGTTTCTGGTGTCTCTAGCCCCAGCCTGTGACAACCCTCGTTCCCTCCTCTTACTTCCAGATCTCTCCGTGGGACCTGGTGACTCCTCAGCTGGTAGGCTGGCAAGGCCACTTGTGTCCTCCTCAAAGAGTTCCCTGCCATTCTCCATCAGAAACTCCACCAGCGCATTGACCTGCACGTATCAAAGCTTTGGTCTTAACCCTGCTGCCTGAAAACGGACCAAGCAGCCTTTCCCATTCCTGAGCCTTGCTTCTGTGCAGAAGGCTGTGGCCTCTGGCGGGCCGCCCCCCCACCAGCATTTGCTCCAGGCAGGAGGCATCCCGGGACCGCTGAGCAGCCAGGCTCTGATGGGCCAGGGAGGCTGCAGCTGGCTGCTCAATGGAGCATACCTTCTCAGTCACCTCCAGCTCCAGTGGGAGCAGATCCTTGCTGGGTGGGCTCAGCAAGTTGGGCCCAACGCAGATAGCCAGGTTTCTGCAGCTCATCCTGCTGGTGGCTGAATTGTGGCCAATGTGATGGAGGAGGGAGAGGAGCCGCTTTAGGAGGAGGAGATTGGCCGCAGGCAACTTCTCAGCCACTCTGAGGGAAGAGGAACACAATGTTAAGAAAGCAGATGCTGTCCACCGCCATCCCCCAGGCTTGCCCAAGGTGTGTAGGAGCCAGCGGCCGTGTTGCACAGCTTCCCGGGGGCTCTCAGCCAGCGGTCAGGGCTCCTGCTCAACAGGCCGGCTGCTGCCCACACTTACGCTTTCAGCTCTGCAATCTTCTCCTCCTTGCTACTCTTCTGCATGGCTGCCATCCAGTCCTCATAGAGGTGGGTCACGAGGAGCTTGGCAGGGATGCTCTGGAGGAAGTGCTGCAATGCCAAGGGCTCCACGTGAGCCTCTGAACACTCCAGGCCAGCCAGGAGCTCCTGCAGCTGCCGGCCCGAAGCGCCCCCCCTCAAGATGACGGACAAC